CCTGCAGCATGGTCATACTTGTCTCTTACTCCAAGTCCCCGGCATCTCTGCTCAGCCTCTCCTTTCCCAGAGTGTGCGGCAGGGCTTGTGTGCGTCTTGGAACACGCCCTGTAGTCAGGGGACATGTACTGTTGCCAACAGATTGGTGTCCGTATTTTAAGCTGGTTAGTAGCACATTTCCAGCAATCATTCTGAATTTTTTATATTGGCCTTATTGGACTTGATTTGCTCTTCAGGGCCTGTAAATAAACCCTCTGGATCTTGGTGACAAGATTTTAAAAAATGATTGTAGGAGATATTTCTAAGAAAATGTAAGAAGATCTTACTCAAATTCATGTTTCTCCTTGTATCATCCAGTCCTACTAGTTATGATTCATCTATGTTGGCTTTTATTTACATTTTATTTTTTTATTTCATTGGTGGTTAAACCATAATATATATTTTAGGGTTCTAACTAATGCAGAATTTATGATCTCCACTCACATTCTTCCATTTGCCAGATACAAATAAGAAAGGTCTCTCTTTCTTTTGGTTTTTGTTCACATTTTGCACCCAGGAAACATGAACAGGAATAGTGGCAATGCCTAGTGGGTTCTTCAGGAGCCTGGAGTCATGCTTTTAGATAAATGTTCAGTTCAGTGGTTTGTACTTTGGCAAAAGAACATGCAGCATGGTGCGAAACAGCTTTGGCATCCCAGGGAACTGGGCTTACTGCACTTCCGCCAGTTCACTGATCAGTTTCTCTCACGTGAAGTGAGAAGAGTAATAACTAATGCACAGGTTTATGGTGAGGTCAGTAACACAGATGCCTGATGGGTAACATACTCTGAGTAAATAGTTATTTACTCTTGTTTAAGTAGCTAATACTTTTCCATATTGTGTACTGTTGCCTTGAAATTCATTTGGTAACTGCATTCTAGGGCACTTGAATGCCTTCTATGAAAAAACTGATATTTTTCTATCTGGGTATTGTCAGTTTTCTATATTTTTAATCCTAATTATAGATACTTAATTGCCCAGCTGTAAGGAGGATTTTGCCATGTTTCTCCCTTTTTTTCTGCTGGTGTGGAGTGGGTGGTGATACAACATATGGCATGTGCCGTGCACACTGGCTCCTGAAGACATTTTCCCTCCTTTAATCACTGTATTTATGTTTTTTGCAGGTATGGGAGGAGCTGCTATCGCACCACCTACTTCTCTTGTAGAGAAAGACAAAGAGTGTATGTAAATATGGTTTTTTCCCCTTTCGTTCTGATACTTTGGGGGGGTTTGGGAATACTTAGGAATTGAACCCAGGGATATCACTGAGCTATATCCCCAGCCTATTTGATATTTTATTTGAAGACAGTCTCACCAAGTAGCCCAAGCTGACCTTTAATTTGTGATCCTCCTGCCTCAGCCTTCTGAGAATCTGGGATTACAGGTGTGCTCCATCACAGCTCTGATACCAAATTTGTGGTCCAGTTGTGGGTTTGGATTCTTGGGAGTTTTTGAGTTTAGAATGAAAAGGCCTGTACAATTGCTTTTGCTCTTCAGGCTCTGAGGCTATAGTAGTTGGCTCTCAGGCCATATTAATGGCCAGGCTCTGAAATTTAGATTTTTGTACAGTGGGATCCATCTTTTTTTAAACAATGTTTTGGTTTTTTCCAAATTTTGTTTCTTACAAGGTTTATTTAAAACAAATACCCAGGGCTGGGGATTTAGCTCAGCGACAAAGTGCTTGCCTGGCAAGCGCAAGGTCGTGAGTTCAATTCCTGGTACTGGAAGAAAACCAAAAATAAAAAAATTAAAAACAAAACAAATACCCATCCATTTACAGATTTTTTATGAGGCTTAGAGGTGGTTGTATTCATGATCTTCCACAAGGGGGCAGTGTCTTCCTTGATTTTTTTTTTTTTTTTTTTCCATTAATTTTTGTTTCAGAACAGGTGTATATTCACTTAAGTACCTTGCCAAACTTTGCCCATTTACTGCTGCTTTTCCAACTGAGCTGTCCTAAAATTTGGAGGTTTGGAGTGGGGTTTGATGTATCATTGTCTACATGATTTTTCATTCTCTGGGCTGGGCAGTACCTAAGCTGTCATAAAATATCATCCATAGTATTGTGTTTCACTATTTGTGGTTTCTCCCCCATCTTAATCATTTTATTTTAATTTTAAAATTTATTAGTACATGTTTACAGTGCGTAATGGTTATGTTCATTGTGAGGAGTCGGTACATGCACATAGCACATCATAATTCTTTTTACATCCGTTTCCAGTCCCTTCTTTCCCGGTTGCATTTTTCTCCTTCCTGCCCTTCCCACTCCATTTTTTTTTTTTTTCATTATCTATGGTTTGTTGTTGTTTGTTTTTTTTTTTTTTTGTTTTTTTTTGCTCTAACTTATATTGGGTTTCTCATATAAGAGAAACTGCAGTATTCAAGCTTGTGGTCTCAGTGTATGATCCCTGACCTCATAGATCTTTATGGTCTCTGAAGGTAGTGGGATAGTAAGTTCAAGTTTTAAGACAGGTGCACAGTTGCCATGGGAATCCAATGAGACATACAGAAAATCTTAGGACATACAGAAAATTTTAATGATTCAGGTAAGAAAAGTCATTTAAGAACTTTAAAGGATAACATTTCAGTAAGATGTCAGAAGGACATTTGTCGAGTATGAGCAGTAGGAGCAAAGTTAGAAAGTAGTGTTCTGTTTTTGGTTTAAAATCAAGTTATGTAGAGACTATAAAATTGATTTATTTTTTCTTATGATAAAAATGTAGATTAAATCCATCCAAGATAAGTAACTGATATAAATGCAACTTCAAATATTTCTTTATAGTTTGTGAACTTACTTTATTTTTCCCAACAGTACCCCGAGATTTTCCTTATGAAGAGGACTCAAGACCTCGATCACAGTCTTCCAAAGCTGCTATTCCTCCCCCAGTATATGAGGAACAGGATAGGCCAAGATCTCCAACTGGGCCCAGCAACTCCTTCCTTGCTAACATGGGGTAATGATTTAAATGTTCTTGTTTAAGAAAGTATAAGAATGACGTAGGAAGTAGTGTGAAGTATTACAGCTCTTTCAATAGCTGCTCATTGGGGCTTGTAAGAAAGCACCTGGTAGGTTCGGTCATACAGTGTCCTGCTGAAGGGCTAGTGTTGGAGTCATGTAGAGTGTATTCCAGTATAATACGGTTTTGTGCAAAAGAGCCTATTAATACAAGTTTTGACGCACGTAGATGTTAAATGTTATTTCTCTAGATAGAAACAGTTTCTGATCATTATTTACACTTAGCATTTGCAATTAAAGTAGCTCATATAAATTAGAGCTGGTTGAGGTTGCCTAGGAAGGATCAGTAATCTGGTTCATTTACCGTAAGGTCATAGTTCTATCCTTCAGATTTAAAAAGTTAGTCTGGGCAAGAGATATCGCTCAAAAACCCCTGATCATTGTTACTATAATTAGATGTTTGTTTGCTGATGCATAAAAGTCCTTTTTAATGTTCCCATACAGGTGGAGTGCTACTATTTTGTTTTAAACCTTGCTGGAGTTTTTTTGTTTGTTACTTTGATGTTGTGGAGAGACCATCAAGTGAAAGGGTGTCACACTAAGAACTTTGTTATGTGTTAACAGGATGCTGCCATAGCAGAAAAGCTGCTAGTGACACAGTCCAGCATGGTAATCACACTGAGCTGCCTACCTATTTACATCTGCTTTGGGTCTCAGAGCTCTCTGGGAGAAGACTAGTCAAATTTGCAGTAGATGGCTGGAGATCAAGCATATGAAAAACACTTAGAGTTTCTGATTCTCTTCCCCATCTCCTAAACCTGGTTAGTGTTTTACGCTAGCTGCTAGCCATAGGTGACTATCAGATTAGTTTGAAATTTAAACTGTAGTTCTTCAGTCACATTAGCCTTATTTCAAGTGCTCACTAACCACATGTAACCAGTGGTGACTGTATCTGACAGTGCAGATAGAGCGTATTTTCATTACTACTATAAATTCAACTGGATGTGGTGGCGGTATTCCCAGCACTCGGGAGGCTGAAGCAAGAGGATTGTCATGAGTTTGAGGCCAGTCTCAGCTGCATAGTTCAAGGCCAGCCTGAACTACACAGGGAGACTCTATCTCCAAAGAAAGAAAGAAACAAACAAGCATTTCATTATCTAAATTTCATACATAGCTTTTGACAGGCCACTGTTTTAAGTAACTGTGGTCATAAACCATGCAGCAGTCTAGATCCAAGAGCACAAAAGAAGTCTTAATTTTTTTTCCCTTCAGAGTACTAGGGAGATGTTGTCAGATAAACTAGCATTTCCTTGGAGGTAATCTCAGGGTGTCCTGGGTTGTGGTTGTTAACTGTTTATGTTTCTTTCATCCTGAACATCAGCACAGCTTCCATCTGATAATAAACAGGTCCACTGTTTATTCTCTGTGAGCTCACTAACGTTGTTTCTCCAGGAGACTGCTGGGGTATAAAATCCAACTTACGTTCTAGTTGATGACATCAACTGTAAGGATCCTTTTCCATTCTCCTCCTCCTAGTGGCACAGTAGCACATAAGATCATGCAGAAGTATGGCTTCCGGGAAGGCCAGGGTCTGGGGAAGCACGAGCAGGGGCTGAGCACCGCGTTGTCGGTGGAGAAGACCAGCAAACGGGGCGGCAAGATCATTGTGGGTGATGCCACCGAGAAGGGTGAGTCTCAAGGTGAGTGTCCGGAGAAGCAGCGCTCCTTCGCCCCAGAGAGGCAGCATACGGTAATTCCCCACTGTGGTGCACTTCTGCTTCTGTTTCTCTTGGAGCCAAGAATCCTGAGGGTTGTCTTCATTTTTTTAGAACAAAGAGAGAGAGGAAGGCATATGGGAAGGAAAAAACTGAGCCTCAGCCAGAAAATGAACAGTTCTCAGCAAAATAATTTCATACCTACTTTGACTAAGCAAAGGATCTGGTTAACATGATGAAAGAATATTTGCTTTTGTAGCATACAGGAGGTAGCCGAATACGTTGCATCAGTGATTGTGTCTGCTGCATTTGTATCATAATAGGTTTCTCTACTTTTTTTCTGCTTTTTCATCATACGTGTTTTCTAATACAGATTGCTCTGAAATCTCGTGTTGCTTTGTAGTTTTTTGGTAGATGCTACCTAGCTGATGTTTTATTTTCATTTGATTGTTAAGCAGAGAAATTGTGTTAATTTTGAGTCAGCTGAATTTCTTTTGCTAAAAAAAGAAAAAACTGTGGGCAGCTTTATTAATGCACAGCTAACAAGCAGCAGTCAGCCTGAATGTTAGTACCAAAAACCATCAGTTACCTAAATTTGTGATAATATCTGAAGTTGGTTGGCAGCTTGTTATTCTGGGCTAGTGGTGATCTTGGTCTACACTCAAGGTAGGACTCACCAGTAAGGGTTGTGATCCATGTGTTCTTATTAGTCTTTTAGGAAATGAAATTTTAAAAAACTTGCAGGTAATGGTAGAAGCTAGAAACTTTCAGAAAATATTTTGAAAATATCAATGTAAAACAGCTTTTATTGCAGGTGATGCAACATTCTTACAGACTGCTTGCATAGATGCTTTTAGATGAGTGTAGGGTTTGAATGGTATAGATTGCTGCTGCAGTTAAATTCACCATTGTAGTAGAACTCAGCTCTCTTAACATGTCTGGTATGTTTTGATACAGATGCATCAAAGAAGTCGGATTCAAATCCATTAACTGAAATACTTAAATGTCCTACTAAAGTAGTCCTACTGAGGGTAAGAAGCAGCCTTGACTTCTGTCTGTCTACGCTACCTCCACATGTTTTCACAAAACCCTACTGTCATAAAAGTGAAAGAAAACTAAAAGAATACTTTCATTAATAATGCCTTTGTATAGGTTCCATAAAAGACTAAATTTTTAACTGTAAGTTTTTTCATTAAATATAGAATTGAGATTGTAGTTATTAAAATATTTAAAATTACTAAACGTCCACTTAGTTTCTACACTTTGGTGCTTACATAGGTGTAACTCTTCTCAACGCTTAGTGTGTGTTTAAAGACACAATAGCTTTGGTAACTCGGACAGAAGTTTTCTTTGTGTCATTTGGGACTAAGAACGTTTGTAATTATGAAGGAATAGCTTATAAAAACTGTAATTGGGAAAGAATAGCTTATAAAAACTGTACATTGTATGTGGTACTTACTTTTTTGTTTGTTTTTAGAACATGGTTGGTGCAGGAGAAGTTGATGAAGACTTGGAAATTGAAACCAAGGAAGAATGTGAAAAATACGGCAAAGTTGGCAAATGTGTGATATTTGAAGTAAGAGAGTTTTCTCTTGATGTTTATAAGTTGTAATTGGCAGTTTATAAAACATTTTCTACAAATGAGGAAGGTATTGTTGCTGTAATTAGAACTGTCATACTGTAGACAGTGACAAATATTTATTACATTTCTCATTAAAAACAAAAATGACTTCAGATTTTATTTGGCAAAGACATAGAAATGTTTCATTTGTGATTGAGGATCAGGATAGTGATTAAAGACCGTGATTGACAAACTTGTACTCAGTCATTCGCTTAGGCATGCTTTTGGTTTCAGTCACTTGGCAAGTATTTATTTAGTACCTCCCATATGCCCCGTGCTGTACGAGAGAGCATTTAGGATACAGGAAGTACGTTTTGTGCTCTCAGGGATATATGCATTTGAAGAAACACAAACACATGAAATAGCAAGAGAATGTTCATTTGCTGTATTTGCTAGTACATATCAGATGTAAGTGGAAGAGTCAAGAAAAAGATTACATCTGCAAAAATAGAGAAGGATTTGTGAACAGTATCAGATAAATGCTGAGCTTTGAAGGGAACAGGTAGGCTTTTTTTGGGAAGAAAGGAATGGTATTTAGATATGGGTGATACGAGACGTGAAAAGACGAAGGATGACAGACATAGAACACTGAAGGAAGAGAACACTGAGCATGCAGGACGTTAGTGGGGGATGTGCTTACAGAAGTGGAACAGAGCTATATTGCAGAAGGTGTAGAAAGATGGACAGAGCTGGCCAAAACAGACCTCATAAGAAATTTTTATCTAAAATTTTTTTTGTTTTATTTTGTTTTCTGAGATAGGGTCTTGCCATGTTGTTAGCTCAGGCTGGCCTTGAACTAACTATGTAGCCCATGCTGATCTGGAACTTGAAGCAATCCTGCTGCCTCAGCCTTTCCAATGCTAGGATTATGTGCATGCGCCCCCATGCCTGGCCTTTGTCTAAAATTTCTACTTCCATTTCTGCTTTATCATATTTCTGGTTGTTGACCACATCATTATTTGATTGCACACCAGATATCATAGGGCCTCCACGAGGTCAAACACTGGCTTGCATAGCTCCCAGCACCTAACATGGTACCTCTCGTGAAACAGATATTCTTTCCTTGGTGTTTGACTACTACTTGTTCATATATGGTGATAATTAGAATATTTGCTCTGATGCAAGTGATACTTTAATTGATAACTCATTATACCTCTTCCAGATTCCTGGTGCCCCTGATGATGAAGCAGTACGAATATTTTTAGAATTTGAGAGAGTTGAATCAGCAATTAAAGGTAAGTTGTACAGTTAAATATTAAGGAATTTAAAAGGTTGAATTTGTGATCTTAGTCTTCATGCTGCATTGTTTATATTGAAGATTATTTAAAGTTAATATTTTGGTGCTGCCTTATAGTATATTTGAATTAACTAACTGTCTTTTTCTTTGCCTTTTAGCTGTTGTTGATCTGAATGGGAGGTATTTTGGTGGACGGGTGGTAAAAGCGTGTTTCTACAATTTGGATAAATTCAGGGTCTTGGATTTGGCAGAACAAGTTTGATTTTAAGAACTAGAGTCATCTCCGAGATCCTTAAATGAGCTGCGGACTGAGCAAAGACAATGATCCTTAAAAGATCTGTGTTCTGAGCAGAGATGGGCAAAGCTGGTGAATACTGGGACTGCTGGTGGGACTTCTGATATATATGTTGATTGATCCCTTTTTTATTTTATGATTTTTTAAATATAGTATAAAAATCCTTTAAAAAAAATCTGTGTGTGTCTCTGGTTGTTTTTCTTATTACTACATCGGAGTTGACATATATATATATATGTATGTCTGTTATGCTGGGATTTCATGGTGATTCTCAGGTGCTTCAGTGGTACATTTCTTGCACTTAAAAAATCTAGAAAGTTTTGGTACATAGAGTTGGTATTTTAATCCCGATATCCATCTTAATAGAGCCTGTTTATAAATTATGTAACAAAAATACCATTTTGGGTAGTCTACTAGAGGTGACAATACCTGCTTTCTCTAACAAATTCTTAGTACCTCCAGTCATAGAAAACGCTCTTTGTGACCTGAGCTAAGGTTGACTTACCCTGACCTAGTTGTGTGAATCATTTGTTGTTAAGCTAAGTGAGAGTGTAGGGTTTATGATGCACTCATGGAGTCTGGGTGTAGAAATCGCAAGTCAAGCATTTGTTTTCAGAGATTCCAGTCTTTGGGGTAGGTCAGAACTCAGAAACCTAGAAAGGACATATAAATACGTGCCCAATCATGTTTTGGAAAGGAGAATTCTTAGGATCAGGCTTATACCAGCTACATTTGCATAGGTGGTGACTGCTATATGTAATTTATAAAATTCAGCCATATCAGTTACTTAAAGTGTATGGCCACTAATATAATTCTAGAATTGCAGAAAATTGTGCCATTTTAGTGTAGTGGTATGTATGGCTGCAGTAACAAAAAATTAGCTGACAAAAGTTTAGTGACAAAAAATTAGCTGGACCACAAAAAAGAAAATATAAAAATATTCAGTACTAAGGTTGATTGCT